GTGGTATTACCATGATGATGATCCTTACTACTAGTAGGACTAAACGGCTGGATAACAGCAGCAGCAGCAGCTTGGATATCTTCCCTCAATGCCTTGTAATTAATCATCTCACAGTCGTTAGTAAGATGAGAGTAACTACTACTACTACTCTTCGTCTCTTAGTATCCTTCATCATAACACTACCGTTTGAGTAATATATCCTTCTCATCCTTAGTAAGAGCTTCATATAATGGGAAGTTTCGCAAGAATTGTGTAGTAGTAACACTACCAGTATTATGATGATCAAAGACCTCAAACCTAATGAGACTGCTACTGGTGATGATCTCAATAATAATCCTACTGGTAGTTTAAGGAGAATCCTCGAGTGGAGCATAAGAATCCTAGTCTATATAGTACCCTAATTAGATCAGCATCAGCATACCTACACATGTATTACCAGACTATTGTTATTCAGAGTCTTGTTACTCATCATAATAATAATAGTAGTGTTGTTGTTACCTTTTCTCATCAAGGTCGGTGATAGTAGTAGTAGTGATATGATCATGTTTTTCTTCACCAATAGTACTACTACTACCTGGTTGTGGTATCTCTACTGTTGGATACTTCTCTAAATGCTTATATAGACAGAATACTTTATTTACATCATCACAGAAATTAGCATAATGTATCATACCATTCTGCACTTGATAGTATTGTGCCAAGAGTTCATAAGCCTGATCATATTAATAATAATATCATCGCTGAGCCTATTAATGCTTTTACTACTACTACCTCTTTATGTTGTATGTGAGAAGAGGATGATGATGATCTTAAGATGGTATCGAGTACTCTAATAAACTGAGTCGAAGTGATAACCTTATGTCTATATGGATCAAAGTCAGCGAATGCCTCGTCAATACGTAACCCTAACAACATCAAGTGTCATAATCATCCATATCTGTTGGTAGCATTATTACGTCTCTCGAATACATATCTTTGTATCTTCTTTATAATCTCTTGTATAACACTATTCTTTACTTCTGACATTATATAAAGAGGTGTATACAACTATAATCATTATAAAGAGGTGTATACAACTATAATCATTATAAAGAGGTGTATAGAACTATAATGATTATAAAGAGGTGTATACAACTATAATCATTATAAAGAGGTGTATACAACTATAATCATTATAAAGAGGTGTATACAACTATAATCATCTGGAGAGGTGTATACAACTATAATCATTATAAGGAGGTGTATACAACTATATTCATTATAAAGAGGTGTATACAACTATAATCATCATAAAGAGGTGTATACAACTATAATCATTATAAAGAGGTGTATACAACTATAATCATTATAAAGAGGTGTATACAACTATAATCATTATAAAGAGGTGTATACAACTATAATCATCACAAAGAGGTGTATACAACTATAATCATTATAAAGAGGTGTATACAACTATAATCATCATAAAGAGGTGTATACAACTATAATCATTATAAAGAGGTGTATACAACTATAATCATTATAAAGAGGTGTATACAACTATAATCATTATAAAGAGGTGTATACAACTATAATCATCACAAAGAGGTGTATACAACTATAATCATTATAAAGAGGTGTATACAACTATAATCATTATAAAGAGGTGTATACAACTATAATCATTATAAAGAGTGTATACAACTATAATCATCATAAAGAGTGTATACAACTATAATCATTATAAAGAGGTGTATACAACTATAATCATTATAA